CTTGAAGAACCACACAATGCTTCATTGTCGATGAAAAATTGACTCGAGAGGTTCTTGAAAGGACCCCCCGAGGGTATTTCACTGTACAGCTTGTTGACAGAAACATTGAAATACTTGAGGTATTGAAGTTTCTCCATAGACATAGGAATGGTTCCTGATATATTATTATGAGAAATGTCTAGGAATTCCAAACCTACCATGTTGCTCACTGAGTCAGGTATAGATCCTTGCAACTTGTTGTGTCTCAAAGAAAGATGCACCAGATTTTGCAATCCTCCAATTTCTCTAGGAATTCCATTTGTGAATTGATTCATTGACAGATCCATATATATTGCAGCCTTTAGATTTCCAATTTCCAGAGGTAAAGAACCAACCATGTTGTTTGATGATAAGTTAAGCTCCACTAGATCTCTAAGATTCCCCAAGCTTGGTGGTATATTGGAACTCAATTTATTGGAATCAAGATGTAAGAACCTAAGGGACGTAACATTCCCTAAACAATTAGGAAGTGCTCCTGAAAGTTGATTTTGACCCAAGTAAATATCTCCCAAATGTTGCAATTTACATAAATTATCTCCAATAAATCCTGTAAGCTTGTTGTTGTTCAAGTACAGGCGCTGAAGGTTTCTCAAGTTGTGAATTGATGTAGGAATTGATCCAATCAAGTTATTATCAGAAAGATCAAGGTCTAATAAGTTGCTTAAGTTTCCAACTTCATTTGGAATCTTGCCTTTGATGTTGCAATCATTGGCATCAAAATCTATAAGAGATATGGAGAAGTTCCCTACGGAGACCGGAAGCATGGCATTTAGAGGGTTGAAAGATACATAAAGAACTGTTAATCTTCTGCAATTGGTTAAGGAAGTGAGGAAGCTTAAAAATGAATCACTAGGTTAAATTGTTTCCCCGGAAGTTTAAGATGTTTAGATGAGTCAAATATCCAAGAGAATTGGGAATCAAGCCACTGAGTTTGTTTCTTGAAAGATCTAGTCTAGTAAGCTTTGAACAATTGGAGATAGAATGAGGAATAGTCCCAACAAGATTGGTTAAGCTATTCAGATAAAGTATTTCAATGTTGGGTAAGGTAGAACCTATGTTTGGTGGTAGAGTTCCTGATAGATTATTGCCTGAAAGAGCAATATTTCTCAGTCGTGATATGTTGAAGATCTCCATTGGAAGTGAACCACTAAAACTATTAAACTCAAGATTAAGTACCTCCAACTCAACGAGATTTCTCATCTCTTTGGGTATTTCACCTGAAGAAAGAATGAGTTTAACTAAAAATTGGCTAGTTCAGATTGCTATCACTTTGAATGTATACGTACCAGTAAACCTATTCTCCTCTAGATATAAAAATTGCATCTTGGTTAAGTTGCCAATCTCGCGTGGTAAGGATCCCTTGAGATTGTTCGACCATAGTGAAACAAATTGCAACGATGAGATATTGAATATGGAGATCGGGATAGAGCTGGTAATCTGGTTTATCTCCACGGCTAACTTCATCAAATTAACAAGATTTCCGATTTCTTGTGGAATTATCCCTGCATTTAATGTGTAATAAAAAAAGATCTAAGGTAATTAGATACAATAGTACTAGCATTCATCATATCATATCTCATCTCATCTCATATATATATATATATATATATATATATATATATATATCATCATCAT